AGGTCCTCCGAATCATGCGTACTCATACACTCCCCCAAGCAGTCCCCACGTGAAAGTTAAAAAACACAAAATTTTACAACAATATGGTCATAAAAGTGGGACATTCATTCATCTCACACATATCTCATACATATCCCATACAAAGAAAGAAGAAAAAGATGAAAGAAAAGAAAGAAATTAAAAAAAAAATTACAGTAAGATATAATGCATGAACAGGTTTGCTGTAAACAGGAATGTTAGTGAACTCACTATATCACAATTTGGCAATCTGAGGTTCATGGACACTAGCTTTAGTTCTCCTAACATATGGCATTAGCTTCTAGTATTTTAATTTCCTCCAAAATTCCTATTTAATACAGACTTATCCATATTGATGAATGGTGATCAGAGCAGTATTGATACAAAAGAACTCAGATGTATTGGCTCTGTCCAAAACATTTTTTGATACTTTATCTCTTGCTTGATATTACTGTATTCAGAAATCTTGCCTGCCTGGAGGGGGGAAACAAAATAACTTCTAGGAACAAAAGGCTTTTACTCCTTTTGTCTGTATCTTCATGCACAACTGAAGAGATGTGGCTGCATATCTCCATCTCCTGTACTTGGAGAAATTCCTGCAAGAAGTATCAAAATCATACTTACATTTTAAAATAATTGCTTATTTATTTATTTATTTAACTCATCTCATGGCAGCGATTCTGGGTAGTGTACAATACCTAACCAAAACAATCCAGAACAACAATTTCTTTGCCAACCAGAGTCATTTATTTGAGATGGGCAGCCATAGAAATTGAATAAATTAATAAACAAATCCAATTAAAAATATTTGAGGTTGCACAAATCATGGTATTTACTCAAAAAACATAATGTAAACAATTGGCTAGCAGAATTTGCTCAGCCTTCCAGCTCAAATGCAGTGGAGAAGAGCCAGATCTTTAAAGCCTTACAAAAGGCTAAATGAAATCGCCCTTGCAAATAAATATAAAATGGCGAACTAGCCAATCTAACCCCCAAAATAAAACTTATTTTTTCCAACCTATATTCTCAATGATTCTCTTTTGTTCCTAGTTAATTGTTCATATAATCAAGTCCCTCTGATCCTACTTAATATAATCTCCTTTTTAATCTGTTGCTTAAACTCCCGTTTTCAGAATCAGAACTTTTATTTATTTTTCTTGATTCAATTGCAGGTCAACAAAAGACTCAATTTAACCCAATTCAGACAATGGCTTGAATAGATATATAAAAATTTCTATATTTTTTAAGATAATGCTACATAAAATCTCATGCTAGTTGTAACAATTGGTTTTCTAACCGATATTTTAGGACCTCCAGAACTTTCAATAAAAGAATAAATATCAGTAAGGGAGTACTTTCCGGAATTCCCCAGAAGACATCAACTCTTTTTAACTCTCTGTAACAGCAACCCTAGTTCTGCATTTCTGTTTCAGTCTACTCTTTATGTATTGCATATGTTTGATTTTTTTCTGCCAATTTTTCTGCCAGACTTATATGGGATGTATCTCTGGAAATTGCCTGTAATCCATCTCAGTGAGGATCTTTGTTTTATAGAGGTACTGTAAATTCCTCTGCTTTGTTAGTATGCCTTAGCTTGCTGACTTAATGTGTCCCTACTTCAAACAGATATCTCAAGATGGGACAGATTCACTTTGATTAGCCACGTCAGTGTGAGAATGGGGGCTTAGTGCATGTAAAAGTTTAGGACTTCAAAGACAGGGACATCAGTTTATACTCAGGGAAATAGTCTCCATATATGAAGACATGTCTAATTTTTGAGAACAAGAGATTTTGAAATAACAAGAGAGAACATAAACATTCATAATCAATTTGTTGCACTTATGTGTTCAACATTTTTGTTAGCAAAAGTGTTTTTACATGATTTATTACTTCATCTTATTACACTACTTTATTACTGATTTTAGTACAAATAGTATTCAAACACTATAATGCTTCTACTCGCTTTCTGTATCCTAAACTGGATATAATCTGTACGTCATCACTGGTGAAGACTACTATTAATTTGTCCCAATAGTTATTACAAACCTATTCACATTTTAAAGAATACCAGGATGAGTAGATATTTATATGGGTCAAACAGTACAGTACAAAAATTAGGAATTTCACCTGCAGAAATCTAAATCAGTCAAGAATCAAGGAAAATGTTACCTGAAACATCAAATTGGGATCAATCCAATTTAAGTCTATGTGACTCCCATGGTTCTAGGACCATATCTGTTATATTTGCTTCTCAATGAAATAATATTCCATATTTAGAAATAATGCATTACATGTACTTTTCAGGGAATAAAAGTATGGCATACATGCACAGTTTTTGGATTTACATATAAACAAAGTTAGCCTTCATTACTATGCTTGAATTAGAAGTGATGACATGAAAACACTTCAGTATTGCTCACCTTTCCATGCATCAATAATCTGATGGTGAGTGTCACATTCAGACCACCTTCAGAGACTTTAGATTCCATATTTTGTCTTGGAATATTGGATGATGTAGAAACTTTGGAGACTCAAAGAAATAAAGATATATCTCCACAGGAGATCACCTGTCAGTGAAAAAACAAATGTTCCTTTTGTAGGATAAACAAATAAACAAAACAAATATTTGTTGTCACTCAGCACATTAGCTGCAGCTTCAAGTCTAAAGGTGAGGATAAACTTCTATTCAGCAATTTCAACAAGCCCTCCTTACCACAGAGGCCACTTGAGCTTCTATTTTATATATTTATGTTTGTGTGTGTGTGTATATGTATGTGTGTGTGTATATCTATCTATNTTATATTTGATTGAGCCTGATTCCTAGCGACCTCATAGACATAGCTATTTAGTTTACTTTGGAGAGTGAGTTGCTTGATATTAGGAAAAGTATTTCCTCAAAATATTTTCAAATCAGTTTCCTATATGCAATTATTCATATTGTTCCAGGCTTTTCTACAATTATTGACCCTTTGTTTATTATAGCTATGTTCTCAGCATTTCATCAGCTCCAATTTGAATATCTGCATTTTCCTTTACATTCCATCTAAATGAATGCAGATGTTGCTTGATCAGTCTGTTGCCTTCTGCTTTTAATAAGAAACCAGATTTGCAAATAGCTCAGTGGAGAAAGCAGTTTACATTTAGGGAAAGGGGAGATGGCTGAATGCATAGCTTCTACTTCACCAATTATAGCTCTCATGCTCTAATTATATACAGCTCTTATTCTCTCAAAACCAGATAGGAAGGAAGAGGGAGAGAAGACAGACTCTCGAGCCCCTTGCTGGTCACCTCCCACATGGATAGCTCTGCCCACAAACAACATATCTGAGTTTTCAAACGTAGAGTACATCACATTACCTTCCCAATGATGCTTCCAACTTCCTGTTGGAAAAAAAATGGCAACAAAGTAAGAATGTAAAAGCTTTAATTATCAGTAAATCTTATTTATTTGGTTCATAGTGTTTATTAATTTCCGATCACAATTGCATGGGTACTCAGTGCAAAATAAACAATTTCTTTATTAGCAAGAATGTAAAACAATGAATAAAAGAACCACCTTTGTAGAGTTCCAAAGATTTTAGCATAGCCAGTTTTGCCTGCACTGATAGCTTCCCTTGGACAGCTAGTTCTTGCTGTTGTGACTGTATAGCCATATTTTGAATTAAATGAAAAGTTATTACTGAATTTAATGTTGGCTAGGTAAAACCCAAAATGAAAAATGCATTAGATATTAAAAGAGAACCTCTGCCAGCCTTTGATATCAATTAACAAAGATATATGTTTGTTACTTGCATCAGTAGGGACATTCCCTCTCCATCTCTACTACAGCAAGGTTTACATATTTGCACTTTGCTAGTAGATAAGAAAAAGAAGAATTTTACCATGTAGCTTTCTCCAGAGGTGGGCTGCTACCGGTTCATACTGGTTCAGGCAAACTGGTAGTTCTGACCAGNACATGATGCTCCTAATAAATAACTGGATTTCTTTTGAAGCTTGGCTTGAGACTCATGATTTAATTAGGGCATCAGTCAGAACCCTGACAATTGCATTTATTCCCATATTATTTTATACTATGGTAATGATGCTCACCTCCTCACGCATCTTTTTTACTGTCTCTCCTTTCTGCAACAAAAACAAGAAAAGAAACAGTTGTAAGAACAAACTGACTAAAATGTCATTACTCTTCACATGACACATAATACACAGATTGTTATCTTTTACATGGTATATATGTAATATTGATAAGCACTGCCCAATCAATAAAAGTGTGGAATGGAAGCAAGGTAGAATGTTGAAAAATTAAAGTGAATTTGAAAATCTTGGAACTCATAATAGTGAATATGCACAATGTATAATCAATTATGAAATATGATTCAGAATCTGAACAATTCAAGTTCTATATGATTAAAGGAATGCAAAACTTGCATACAATTATAAAAATGGAATAGTGGGCATTTTGGTGAAAATGGATATTAAGTTCACCCTGAACTTTATCTTTAGAGAGAATTAATTAAAAATATTTTAATCACTGATTTTATCACTGCAGTCACAATTGCTAAAATTATAATTTTTTTCTCCAAAATGCTGGAAATGCAATGAACAATTTGACGGGGGGGGGGGTTCCATTCACAGTAGCAATGTTGCAAAGGTCAACAATATTGGAAATTAATTCATTGTAGAATGGAACAAATCTTTAAAGTCATAATACTGTTTCAATCTGAATTTTTTTTTACTTCACCAAACCACATTTTCTTTCAAAATACAAGGAATTGGCATTATACGTGGTAATGGTTGCATTATATGATTAATTAAATTGTGTGCATATTCTTTGATATTTTGAATAACTTCATATCTAAAAAGTAGACCTTATGTACATTTCAATCTTATTTGGAAACTATTTCTGGAATACAGTTCTGTAAATGGAATTGTGTCACATACTGCACAAGAGTTTAGAATTGTTATTTCAATCTAACATACAGTTTATAAATCATTTACAATATTCTTTCAATGTACTTCTTTTCTCTGATTAATTTGTGTTAAACAAATATTTCTTACAATTCAAAAGAGATATATTTTGATTAGAAATTGAATATGAAATATCTTAGAGTACTCTAAATTGTTAATTGTGTACTGCAGTATATTAGTCAAATGAAAATTTAAATCTCCTGGTTATTCAAGAGTTTTTTATTATCTGCCATCCATATTTTATTGCTTATATTGTGGTTTTTTCATTACTATATTTTCTATAGTTTTTGCATATTATTCAGTTAGTCATGATTGGAGCCATACAAACTAGGTTCACAGAAAAATAGGCATCAATTTTATCTGTATTATTGTGGATCCAGGTGCTTTTTTTTAATGTGGAGATATGAATGAAAATAAATATTGATTATATTTTGTTCTGGGATCCTTCTAACTGGTGGGGAGATCAGGAACAATAACAGTTTGATAGATACAAAACCTAACTTATATCAAAGGAAATTGACCAACAGAAGTATTTTCATACATTGGTTAATTGCTGTGAATATTTAACTGATGTAAATGTTATATTTGATTGAGCCTGATTCCTAGCGACCT